TGGAGGAAAAATATCTTGGGTCTGTGGTCAGTGATGGAAAAACTGTTTGGCATCCAGTTACCTGGAGGAAAAAATGGCCGCCATCTGTGGTGAATGGTTTGAAAAAATCTATTTGTCAGTGGGAGAACAAATGTCCCCAGTGTTGGTGATCAGTGCTGCTGTCAGTGTTCAGAGGGCAGGAAAATGTCTCATCAGTGGGAGAAACAAATTGGTATTTGCTTGGGGGGGGGGAGGGAGATGGTACTAACTGACGAGCAAAGGGGGTAGTGATGCTCTGGGGGTGGTAGTGGGGGGGGCATTGGTCTTTAGTGGGGGGTCAGGCGTAGGCACCATTGTGGTAGCCAGAGCATTGGTCCTCAATGGGGGGTGAAGGGTGGGAACTGGTATTCAGGGGTAGTAGTGGGTGCATTAGCATTCAGTGGGCGGTCAGGGAAGGCATGCTCAGTAGTGGTAGCAGGTCAGTAGTCCTCAGTAGAGTGTCAGGGTTGGGCAGTGGTGATCAGTGGTGGTAGTGGGTGGCATTGATCTTCAATGGGTCACATGCTCAGTAGTGGTAGCAAGGTCACTGTATATAAACGGCAGACGGGAGCAGTGCAGGAGAGGGTTGCCGTTCACAAATGGCGCCTGCCTTCTTAGCCTGTGCACGCTCCTTTCAAACACGCAGCAACGCGAACAGGTACCCACTGTGTCCGGTCGCTGTACCAGACCTTTGTGTGAGGTCCCGATCATGTGATCACTGATTGGCCAATCAGTGATCACATGAACAGTAGTAAGCAAGATGTCACTTCCTGACATCATTGCTTACTACTTGTGAAATCTGTGAATGATCACAACCTTGTACCATGTGACAAGGTGTGACCAATCACAACTCGCATGGTATTTCTCAATGGCTGCAGGAATGCAGCCAGAGAGGAGAAATGATTGCTTTTATAGCCTTTATGGGTGGAAAAGCAATCAGATTAAAAAAAAATCTTCATCACCGCCCACAAGTAGTACAGTGTCACTATGGTGACACTGTACCGCTAGGGTGACAGTATATTAAAAAAAAAAAACACAAATAATAGAATAATATAAAAATATAAAAATTATAATTTTTGGTTATAAACTAATTTGGTTTATTTTTTTTCACTAAAAAGATAACTGAATACATTTTGGACAAGATTTATGAAGAAAGAGTATTTATTTGCAAAATTTTATAAGGAAAACACTTTTTTTCTAACTTTTTGGACATTTTCATTTATATAGCAAAAAAAATAAAAATTCCAGTGGTGAATAAATACCACCAAAATAAAGTTTTATATGTCTCAAAAAAATGTTAAAAATGTCATGTGGGTACAGTGTTGCATGACCGCTTAATTGTCATTCAAAGTGTGATAGCGCTGAAAGCTGAAAATTGCCCTGGACAGAAAGGGGGTAAAAGTGTCCGGACTGGAAGTGGTAAAACCCCCCAAAAGGCCAGCCCAGCACTGTAGTCTGTAGTAAACTGTAAACTGTAGTCCTCATGCACACGGGACGTTTTGAGAACGCTGGTAACATTAGCTGTGTAAAGTCACGTTTTTTAGTGTTTTTGCATTAGCGTTTAGCTGCGTCTTTTGGTAAACAAAAATTCCAAAAAACGCCAATTTGCGGCGTTTTTACCGCATTTTTAAACATTACAGCTTAAAAAGTCCTGTAGAAACACACTAGTCCTGGGTTTTCTTTGCAGCCAAAAAACGCTGATTTCAGTCTATGTGTGCATGGACACATAGGATAACATGCTGGGGGGTTTACTAGTTGTGGAAAAAAAAAAACATCAAAAGCCAAAAACAGCCGCTGTAAAAACGTCCCGTGTGCATGAGGACTTAAGTGTCATTTTTTACTAAAAATTTGCGCTTGAAAAACCACTGCGCAAATATTATGTGACATAAATTGGAACTATCTCTCTATTTTATTCGCAAGGGTCTCTGCTTTAACCCCCCTGGAGGTATTCCTGAGTGTAGTTCGGGGTAAAGTTTCAGCACCGCAAGAGGTAACCCCGAGCTACACTCAGGAATACACTGCAGCGTTGTTCCGGGATCTCTTCTGCACTTACCTTGTCCTGCGCTCTCGCGATGTCCCCCCTGCAGTGTCCCCGGCCATCTCCTCCGGGCGATGCCGGCATCCATCTTCTGGGTTCTGTTCCTTGCGACGTCGGGATGTACGGGGGACAGAACTGGCGGGAAATTAAAAAATTTCAAAAAGTGACATTCACTAAATACACTAAAATCACATAGTATAACATTCCTGTATCAAACCATTTCACATACATTTTGTCCCGAGTGCTTTGTCCTGCGCCCTGCCTGCATTTTTACTGTTCTTTCTGCCTGGAAACAGAGAAACGTCCATGGCGTCCAAAAAGTGTCCCTTTAGGTCAAAAGCGGTTTTAGACAACCTCACATCATCAAAATGGCAGTTGGTGGTTGGCTGTGCTGCTGAGAAGACACAGACTCCTGTTGCTTCAGGATTTCTGTAGGATTTCAGCGTTTCTCCTGTCAACAACCTACAAGATGGATCAGGATTTCAACTGGGGAACAGTGGACCCTCGTCTCCTTCTGGATTTGGCCTCTTCACACTCCACCGGGAAGGACAGAGAGGAGGATATTATGGCCGCTGTGACGCATCTGCAGGGAGGAAAGGCAGAGAAGACTGAGGCCCTGGGTCAGCTTCTGGACATGGCTACAACCTTCACCATGGCTCCCATCTACCATTATCCAATGAGGTTCCCAAAGAGATCCGGGAAGAGGGCTGAAGATGGAAAGGCCCCCAAGGTGAAGAAGAGGGACATCACCATCAGCGCTGCATCCCAGGAGCCTTCAACCAGCACCCATTCACGCTCTTCCCGAGCAAGCAAAGGGGCTATATACAAACAGCTGGTATCTGAAGGTCTCCTGATTGCCCTGATGTCCAAAGAGCCCAAAAGAAAGGCAGCGGAGACCAAGCCTCAAGGAGCCAAAAGACCCAGGGCCCAATGAGGTAAGTGACATTAGGTGAGTATGGCTTTTATTATATTTAAAGCCCATTCCTGTCACCTGCCCCGAATTGATCGCTGGCTAAAAAAATAAAATCCATCTAAAATGTATTTTTATTTATACAAAGCCACGGTCACTGCAGTCCCAAGGGTTCCCCCTCTACTATTTACATCCAGTGGGGTCCTTGATGGATTGCTTATTATGTTTTGCCCAGAGTTGGGCTTTAAAAAAAAAATAAAATAAAAAAAAATTTAAAAACCAAAAAAAAAAAAAAAAAAAAAAGTGTGCATTTAGAAATTATAATTGTTTCTCTTGTTACCAAAAAAAAAAAAAAAAAGTTTGTAAACATAGATAAGATAGTGATAAGATAGAATGCTTGTTAAGATAGTCTGCCATCTTGTAACATCCTCTGGTAAATGCCAAACATCTCCTTTTCCTCTTCACTTCTGTTTCTTTGGAAAGAGCAGAGAATGTTAGTTGTGGCCATATACACAGCTCTATGTGCAGCCCAGAGCCCATAGCGCACAGCCCAGAGCCCATAGCGCACAGCCCAGAGTCCAAAGCGCACAGCCCAGAGTCCATAAGCATAGCGAGCCCAGAGTCCAAAGCGCAGAGCCCAGAGTCCAAAGCGCACAGCCCAGAGCCCATAGCGCAGAGCCCAGAGCCCAAGAGCGCACAGCCCAGAGCACACAGCCCAGAGCACAGAGCGCATTGGCCGGCTACAAGAGGCCGGATTTTTTTTTTAATAAAGAGAAAATCCATACACCTCCACTAATTAATGGCCCTGTCATCTATTTTTCATCAAATCATTTCTTATTGTATTTTTCTGCTTCATGGTAACACCCTCCATGAGCTCCCACACCTCTCCGTTTCCCTCTCACTTCTGTTTGTTTGGAACAAGCAGTGCATGTTAGTTGCAGTCATGTGCACTACTCTATGCACACTGCAAAGCCCATAGCCATCAAACCCATATGTAAATTGGATATATTATTGTAAACCAGAGTTTAGTGTCACATCTTTAACATCTTACAAAAAAGGAGAGGATTGGCCGGCTATAAGGGGTGGAGGAGGCCGGTTTTTTTTTTTTTTTTTGTGACACTAATCAATATCCTTATTTTTCAAAAAAAATCCATTTACATTCATTGGTTAATGGCCCTGTAATATATTTTTTAAAGAAATAATTTCTTACTGTGTTTTCCTGCTTCCTTGTAACGTCCTCCATGAGCTCCCACACCTCTCCTGTTCCCTCTCACTTTTAATTATATGGAATGAGCAGTGCATGTTAGTTGCAGTCATGTGCACTGCTCTATGCACACTGCAAAGCCCACAGCCCACAGTTGAAAGCATTTTTTTCCTCTCACTTTTCAGAGTTTAGTGTCACTTATTTAACAACTTACAAAAAGAGGATTGTGATTGGCCAGCTATGAGGGGAGGAGGAGGCCAGATTTTTTTTGTGACACTAAACAATATATTTAAAAAAAAAAAAAAAAAAAACTATTCACATCCACTAGTTAACCTCCCTAGCGGTCTGATTATGTCATATTTCTGTGCTCAAAGCGGTACTCCTTTTTTTTGCATGGAAATATGTTGTTTTTTTATTGTAGGCTGTAATTCTTAGGAATAACTCACTGAAATCTGTCCGAACAAGAGTCTAGTAAACATCCCGGGTATGATAAAACTTGAAACACGAAATCAAATTATAATATAAGGAATAATCATTAATAATATAATAATAATAAATTTAATTCAATAATATAATCAAACCAAAAACACTGAAATTTTAAATATAGCGCCAAGTTCGCACATCACTGAGCAAAGTCGCAAAATCGTTTTCAGTGTCTGATGATGAATTTCCCCCACGAATCATTATCACTCAATTCTGCAAGTGGTTCTGATTTACTATCGCTGTTCTCTAGCCGGTCTAAAACCAATTTGACCTAAAGGGACGCTTTTTGGACGCCATGGACGTTTTCTCAGTTTCCAGGCAGAAAGAACAGTAAAAATGCCGGCAGGGCGCAGGACAAAGCACTCGGGACAAAATGTATGTGAAATGGTTTGATACAGAATGTTTATATGTGTGATTTTAGTGTATTTTAGTGAATGTCACTTTTTGACATTTTTAAATTTTCTGCCAGTTCCGTCCCCCAAAGTCCCGATCGTCCAGAACGGAACCCGGAAGACGGATGTCGGCATTTTTTGGAGGAGGAGATGGCCGGGGACACTGCAGGAGGGACATCGCGGGAGCGCAGGACAAGGTAAGTGATCGAGGGATCCCGGAGCAGCGCCGCATGGTATTCCAGAGTGTAGCTCGGGTTACCGCTTGTGGTGCTGAAACTTTACCCCGAGCTACACTCAGGAATACCGCCAGGGAGGTTAATGGCCCTGTAATCTATTTTTCATTAAATCATTTTATTTTTTGTTTTTCTGTTTCCTTGTAACATCATCCATGAGCTCCCACACCTCTCCTGTTCCCTCTCACTTTTAATTGTTTGGGACGGGTAGTGCACTATAGTTGCAGTCATGACTACTGCTAAAGCCCATAGCCCATGTCAAGGAAGTAAGATCACAAAAAAACAAAATGGAGATTTGGAAGAGTCTGAGAGCAGTAAAAAGTACTTTTTTTGATTAAGAACAAATATCTGAGTTTAGTGTCAATTTAACATCTCACATAAAAGGAGTGTGATTGGCCGGCTATAAGGGGGGAAGAGGCCGGATTTGGTTTTTTTTTTATGACACTAAATCAATTAATTTTCATTTAATAATCTGTACACATCCACTACTTCATGTCTCTGTAATTTATTTTCAATTAAAAGATCTATTACTGTGTTTTCTGCCTTCCTGTAACATCCTCCTGAGCTCCCACACATCTCCCATTTTCCCCCTCACTTATGTTTGCTTGATATGATCAGTGTACTGCTCTATGCAACACTACACATCCCATGTCCGTCTTGGGGGTGAGCAGAGAGAGAGTGGCTACATTCCTACATACAGTGGGACCATGGGGGAGAATGGATGTAGCCACCCTCTAAACAGGAAATTAAATCACAAAAAAAAAAAAAAGCAATTGGGAGATTTGGAGGCGGCTGAGAGTAATAGAAGGAATTTTTTTTTTTCTTTTGAAACCAGAGTTAAGTGTCACTTAACATGATGCAAGAAAGGAGCGTGATTGGCTGGCTATAAGAGGAGGGAGGCTGGATTTTTTTATTTTTTTTTAACTACTTCCCTTCCAGCCCATGTATATAAACGGCCGGACGGGAGCAGTGCAGGGCTGGGTGGCCATTTATAAACGGCCTCCACGCTCCCTGCTTGTGCGCTCCCTGGGAGTGCGCAGCACCGCAATCCAGTGCCTACTGTGTCCTCTGGACACGGTGAAACACCGATCGTTGTACGGGACCTCTGTGTGAGGTCCTGATCATGTGATCACTGACTGGCCAATCAAGACTTCTGACATCATTGCTTACTATGTGAAATCTGTGAATGATCAAACCTTGTACCATGTGACAAGCTGTGACCAATCACGAGCTCAAACAGTATTTCTCAATGGCTGCTGAAGAATGCAGCCAGAGAGAAGGAGAAATGATTGATTTTACAGCCTTTATGGGTGTAAAAGCAATCAGTGTAAAAAAAAAAACAATTCTCAATAAAAAAAAAAATAAAAATGTAAAAAATGTTTTTGAACAATTATAATTTTTGGTTGTAAACTAATTTGTTTTTTTTTTTTACTATAAAGATAACAATACATTTTGGCCAAGATTTATGAAGAAAGATTATTTATTTGAAAAGTTTATAAGAAAAACACTTTTTTCAAAATATTTAAACTTTTTCATTTATATAGCAAAAAAAAATAAAAATCCCAGTAGTGAATAAATACCACCAAAAAAAGTCTTATCTGTCTCAAAAAAATGCTAAAAAAATGATTGAGTACAGTGTTGCATGAACGCACAACTGTCATTCAAAGTGTGATAGTGCCGAAAGCTGAAAATTGGCCTGGACAGGACGGGGGTAAAAGTGTCCGGACTGGAAGTGGTTAAATTAGGGGCTGTTCACACTGCCCACACACTAACCCCCAGTTCACATCTGTGTGGTCGTGCGGGCCGCGATTTGCATGGGCACGAGAGCCTATACATTTGAATGGACTCCTGTGCCCCGGGACATGCAGGGAAGAAATCTATCTTTCTATATCTACTTTGGAAATCGCAGCCCGCGCAGGAACCGAGGTGCCCAGTACGGTTGCCATATCCAGTGCGGGTGGCGTACCATTAGAATTAATGACACCCGCCAGCGGGTCCCGCATTCCTGTGTGTGGGTGGTGCAGCTGCAGGTATTTGTGCAGGTCCCGCATCGGCACCACCCACACAGATGTGAACCGAGGGTAAACTGAATGGGTTTGGTGTGTGGGCAGCCGTCCATTCCGGCTGCAGCCAGCCAGCGGTACACAAGGCAGAGTGATGCACATTTTACCGCATCACACAGCTCATTTGTCTTCTTTTTGTTTTGTGTGAACCTAATGTGAAGTACACAAAGTGACGTGTCATAGCATGTCCCCAAAAAAGCAGCACAGTGTGATCAGCTGCTGCACAGTGACATGCAGTGCCTTCCTTTTTGTGTGCGCTACAAAAAATTGCAGCATGTCTGCATTTTACTGTGGCTCCAGG